GAGTGGGTATGGGTGGGTGTGAGCTGGACCTGACTAGCTTGTGCTACTAGGTCTGATGCCGTGCTCCTTCCTTAAGTGGAAGTGACCTGACTAGGTGGGTCACTGGTCTAAGCCGGGGGCTGACATGGACCTGCTTCGCATGGGTCAGTAGGCCTGCTGCAGTATTCCTTTTTTCCTATGTTCTAAACTAGCAATCCTTTCTAGTGATGACGAAATTACAGTTCTGGGAAATGTGCAAGAACTTTCTTGCCATATATATTCAGATACTTAAAATCACTTTGAAAGCTTAAAATCACTCAAATTGTACTCCCTGAAACGCAAATGTGAGAGAGGTCTTACAATATATAATGTTCAAACACTGGAGGGACAGGTATGAAATCCGTAATAAAATAGCGCCTTACATGAGCGGAAGACTAAGGAGGCTGCAAAATACTTCTGAGAGGGCTGCAGCAACTAAAAGACAACTCAATAAGCGTAACCGTTCCAGGCAAGTCAACGACTTACCTACTCTTCCCCGCCTCCATTTAAAAAAAACAAAAAAAGAGAGGAATTACCAAAATACCCCCCACTGGAACTATCACCAGGCAGAGCCGCGGTACACTGCTACAGTTGTGCTTCACAAACCCACCACCACAATTATGTATAGCAGTGACTGCTAGTTTTCTCTCGCATCAACAGACAAACTTGGGAATCAAAGTTTATAACCCCTAAATTTCATGCAAGTGAGATAATTTTCTTAAAGCTAACCTGTATATTGTCCCCCAATCCCAACATCCAAGGCAGATTATAATCATACAGTATAAGGGTTACCGAAATAAAGATCACTAATGTAATCTGCGAGTATGACTCTGTAATTCCTGTGATTGTTTGGGATAACCTATGTTGATTACCTATTTTTAGATTACTTTTGTGGGATTGCATTTTGTGATAATCCATTTGTGATTATTTATTTTAACTCCCTATATGCTATTGCCGTATTTTCCGGCATATAAGGCGCACGATCACATAAGACGATGTTTCCAAGCCGTTGTAACGTAACGTTAGTAAACAACTGTCAAAGAGTAACCCAAAGCCTACCCTTGAGCCTGACTTTAAGCATATAAGGCGCAGGTTGATTTTTCCAAGACTTTTTTTTTGCGGGAAAAAGGTGCGCCTTATATGCCGGAAAATACGGTACTTATTGTAGTTAAGAACATAAGAACATTATTAACTGCTGCCATTATTTACTGTGATTAAATATTAGCGATTACTTAATGTGCTAACCCATTTATGGTTATTTGTGAAACAGTGTGATTACCTATTTGTAATAACCTACTGTGATTGCCAATTTGTGAAAGCCTACCGTCATTACCTACTTGTGGTAAAATATTTGTAGGTACAAATATTTTATCACAAGAGCAACGCTCTTACTGCCTGTCTTTATTATTTAAGACATGGTGAAGTTTCTTCTTGTACAAGATTGAAATACCGACAAGATGAAAACTGAGACACATGTGCAACATCTGGGTAACTTTATTGTAGACATTTCGCCATCCAGTGACTTTATCAATACAGATTCTAGGACATAATTTGAAGACAGTAGAACTGTATACAAAACATGAGGTAATCAGCCCCTCAGCCTTGGAGTTGGTGTGAAGAGCACCGTAGTTGTGAAGATTCTGGAGCAAAGGCAAGGAGACTGGAGCTTATATACTAACGCCAGGTGGATTGGGACGGGTAGCAGACGAGGGCATAGTCACTGGTAGGCGGGATTACCCAGTGGAAGTAGGTCATACCCTAAAGGATGGGTAAGTTGTAATAGTAGTTGTAGTAGCCGTGAAGAAGGTCATGTAGATGTCCTTTGAACCAAGATTCCATGGTGTTGCAGTGTCTGACAAGTTGTACAAGAATGGTATACAAGTTTTCATCTCGTCGGTATTGTATACCATTCTTGTACAACTTGTCAGACACTGCAACACCATGGAATCTTGGTTCAAAGGACATCTACATGACCTTCTTCACGGCTACTACAACTACTATTACAACTTACCCATCCTTTAGGGTATGACCTACTTCCACTGGGTAATCCCGCCTACCAGTGACTATGCCCTCGTCTGCTACCCGTCCCAATCCACCTGGCGTTAGTATATAAGCTCCAGTCTCCTTGCCTTTGCTCCAGAATCTTCACGACTACGGTGATCTTCACACCAACTCCAAGGCTGAGGGACTGATTACCTCATGTTTTGTATACAGTTCTACTGTCTTCAAATTATGTCCTAGAATCTGTATTGATAAAGTCACTGGATGGCGAAACGTCTACAATAAAGATACCCAGATGTTGCACGTGTGTCTCAGTTTTTAAGTTTCTTCTTACTGCCTATCTTCATTATTTAAGACATGAAGTTTCTTACACCTTAGCGTGGCTATAGGACTTTGTACTTCTTGTACACTATTCTGTCGTTCAACTTCCTCATGTTCACCATTCTGTCATTTTACTTCCTCATGTTCACCATTCTGTCATTTTACTTCCTCATGTTCACCATTCTGTCATTCTACTTTCTCAAGTACACCATTCTGTCGTTCTACTTCATGTTCACCATTCCGTTGTTCTACCTCCTCATGTTCACCAATCTGTCGTTCTACTTCCTCATGTACACCATTGTGTCGTTCTACTTCCTCTTGTACACTATTCTGTTGTTCTACTTCCTCATGTTCACCATTTCGTTGTTCTACTTCCTCATGTTCACTATTCTGTCGCTCTACTTCCTCATGTTCACCATTCTGTCGTTCTACTTCCTCTTGTACACTATTCTGTCGTTTTATTTCCTCTAGTACACTATTCTGTCGTTCTACTTCCTCTAGTACAATATTCTGTCGTTCTACTTCCTCTAGTACACTATTCTGTCGTTCTACTTCCTCTTGTACACTATTCTGTCGTTCTACTTCCTCTTGTACACTATTCTGTCGTTCTATCACTCTGTCAAGTAACACTTAAGCTCAGTTCGGTCTGTGGGGCTCAGAAGTACATGCAGCAGTTGCACTTACAATGGCACAATTGTACCTACAAAGCACCTGGTCTCTGGAGATAAAACAACTGGACTCAATATCATGTACCTGCAAAGTAGCCACGACTCATAACCAAACTGTTGTACTCCAAGTGATGCACTCATAAAATCACCTGGACTCGTAAAACAGCCAGAGTTTCATTGAAAGCAGAGTAACACGTAAAGGTAATTGTAACGGGATACGAGAAAGAAGACTGAAGAAAGGTCGTGACTTAACCTGACTCCCACTCAGTGTTCTACGGTACTCTGTGACCTCTTCTGCCACTCTGGTTTTTCCTGCCACTCTGGTTTTTCCTTCCACCCTGGTTTTTCCTGTCTCGGTGTCTTCTCATGCCACGGTGACCTCTCATTCTGCTATTCCGACCAGTTTAGCTGGGCCGTGTTTAGCAGAGAGAGGATTAAGCCTCCATCATTCCCTGCGCTGAATGATCCCCTTGAAAATGAATTAAGACTCCAACTTCACATTCCAAGGCAGCTCCTCTCTCTTACCAGTTTTTTTATATACTCATAAAGCGGAGGTAGTTACTGTCGCAGTTGATGCCTTTACTTCAGTCTTGCTGTAGCAAAGGCATCAATCAGTATGATGTACGTAGTAACTTGGCAAAAGTAAAAGCTGCTTCTTGTGCGGCGAAAAGTGTTTATAAGTGCAGAGATATTTTATGAAAGAGTAGGGTAGGTTAGGGTAAGTTAGGTTAGCGGTATAAGACATTTTAATGTGAAGACATTTAGCCCAACAATGACATGAGGTGCAAGACTGAGGTCATGAGGTCACATGTGAATAACCAGCTGAATAAGTGAGGTTAGATGACCGCCGCAGTATCAGGTACTGGGAGAATAAGCCCCACTGAAACTTCCGAAATTGCGAATGACCCTGAATTCGGAATAGTGTTATTGGCTGTGGTTATTACTGCGCGTGGTAAACATTACCCGCTGTGACGGTCACTCTGGTGATTAAATCTTGTCTCTGGGAAATTCCTGAGATGGCTTTCGATGCTTGTGTGTAGATTTGCATGCATTCTTAGTGTCGTCGTTTCGGCATAGGTTATGTTAGAGTAATTTAGGTTAGAATAGGTTAGGCTAAGGTAGGTTACACAAACCTATAAAACGTATACTTATTCACAAATAAATTAATAAAAATCAGTGATACGTCTGGCAACACGATGACTAAGCAGTCTCAAAAAGTTCAAATCTGCACGTCTGACACTCGTGGTGTGATAATGTAGTAGACGACTGAAGTGTATGGTTTGCGTTGGTATTTTTTTTTATACAAAAGTGAAAACACCATTCTCACATCACAAATCTGAAGAGATGCCTCGCTCTCAGTTCCGTCAGTCTTTGTTAGTACATTTGCCAAACTTACATATATCTGTTACTGATTCTGAGACCATTGAACAAGCGACGCTGGCTTCGTAAACAGCCAAAGGAAATGTTGCAGGCATCAAAATTATGAAACAAACAGGAAATAGAGATAAATGTATACTAAGACCCCGCCAGAATGTAAAGGCAGAAGTCTTCCGTTTCACTAATATGAGAGGAGGGTGGTAGTATCTGTAGTTATAAACCAGGGAACAAGTGGAGGCTGAACCCATGATGAGTCCTATAACTCACTTGCTATGGGTTCAAGATCCACACGTTCCCTGATTAGTTTGCAATCTTGTTATTATGATTTCTTGGATCTGTAGTTACATATTGAAGTATACAGCCTTTGACTTCTTGGACCAGATGTAGAGCTGAAGCTGCTGATGTAAGCCTAAAGCCTTCCAGTAAACACCCACCCACACACACACACACACACACACACACACACAGAGTATATACACACACACACAAACATACACACACACATAAACACACACACACACACACACACACACACGCACACACACACACACACACACACACACACACACACACACACACACACATAAGTGCAGCAATATGGGCGTGATGACTTACCTCACTATGGGCGGGTGAGGCAGGCGTGGAGTTGAAGGGGGTGCTGTCGCCGCCCACGTCGAGACCTTCCTCCAGCCGGCGTCGCTTCTCTTCCTGTTCCTTCTCCCATTTCTGCAAAGGGCAAGAAAACAAAGAGAATTAATATATGAACCAGAGAAGGTAAGGAGCGAGTCAATAAAAAAAATAATGTTCGCCAGCAACTGTACCTTTACCATGACTCACGAAATCGTAATGATACGACTGTAAACAAATCATACCAAGCCCGTGGTATATCTTGATATATCTTTGATGACTTTCGAGAGTCTTACTACTCTCGGAGCTCGGCCATGTCCAGCAGAAGTTTGCTGCAGTTTTCGCCGAATTTGTAATTTTTTGGTACAAAACGTACACATATATGGAATTGACTTTATAATTGATGGAAACACAAATTATTTTATTTTTTAATCAACCGTATACTCTGAATCACATTTTACAGGAAAATATTCTAGGACTGTAAACATCTTGGTGTTGACAAGCCGGATTTTGACGTGCTGAGACCCAGGCTGTCAAGTTAAGATCCAGGACAGTAATAGTTTAGGTTAATAGCTTCCATAAGGAAAATAAAATATATATAAATTTTGCATTCATATTTTAAATACTAGAACTGTCAAAAAATAATTATTAGGAACTATTTTCTAGTTCTCCCTTCTCGTATGGAAGTAGTTGAAATTTGTCGTATACCCAATAAAATTATTTCCTAATATTTAATTATAGCTTTTCAGTGTGTTCTGCCGAGGCAAATTTCATGGTTATTTCACCACCATCCACAAAGAATGATAGGAAGGTGTCGCTAGTGTTTGATCCGTCTGCTACGAGGATATGAAGAAATAAAAGTGCCAGGACAGTGCCTTGCACTACTCAAGTTTTCACTGTGTTTAGATCGGAGTCTGTTTACTGACTCTCATAGCGATCTGTTTGTTAGAATTTTAATATTCAGTCGCTACTTTTATATTATCATAACTTCTGACTTTATTGTATAGGTTGTTTCTTTATAGTCACATTTCTCAAGCGACTCTACTGTAACACTTATGGGCAGCACATCCGCATATTGAGTTTTTCTCAATGTCTCTGTTATTTTGTTGTGGTCGTCTACTTGCTGTGATAAGTCAGATCTTCCTGCTACAAAACCATGTTGTTCCGAGTTCTGCAGTTTAATCATTTATATAAAATTCATAAATTGCGTTCTCAGCACCATCTCAAAGATTTTTTTTTTGTGTGTGACGTTAAAACATGTGCCACAGTTGGGTATCTTTACTGATGCACACGTGTCTTATCAACTTCTCGGCATTATATACTATTTTCATCTACTGCTACTGACATGAAGCTTTTTTTTACCACTACTCTACTCCATATTTTGTATAATTATGTCCTTTTTTTTACAGTTAATGGAATTTCACGTGTTTAATCCTTATTTCTCCAAAGTACATCAAGTGGTTTTCTGCCATTTCTTTACAAATATAGCAATAAAAGGATCGAGTTCGGAGTTCAGTGCTTGAACATGTCAATCTATTTTTAAAAGTTTGCATCATTCTTGTTAATATCTGTTAATTAACAGACATATTCAACGCTAAGCATGCTATCTTCTTTCAGGAATATTTTTTGCCTTCACCAGTGTACATACCTCCTCCTGTACGGCGCCAATACTGCTGGAATTTTTATTTGAAATCTGCGTATGTGTAAAAGTATTTGGGCTTTCCTCGAGATTTTAATGTTTTTTTTACATATTTTTTTTTCATTCCCTCCGTCTGGTATGTGTTTAAATTTATGCTGTACCCTAGTTATCTTCCCTGGTTAAACTGGCTTTCCATTAACGTCACATTAATTTTTTTTACGATTTCAGAAACTCTTTCACTTTCCTGTAAAGTCTTGTGTACTCTTTATCTGCTAACTCTTTAGGTTTTCTCTTGAATATTGTTTCTGTAGAAAGTAAAACATACACTTTACAGGAAAAGTCAATCATTGAAGAGAAAGTGACAACCATAAAAAACTACAGAACGGGTGGGATTTGAACACATGGTGAGTGAACCCTGTATGACTAGTGATTAGGGCATTAGTGTGAATGAGCATGAATATAGTAAAATGAGAGCTAGGAAGGAAGGGAGAGGAGAGAGAGGGAGGGGAGAGAGAGGGAGGGGGAGGAGGGAGTGGGAGTGCTGACACAAGCCAGGGGCACACGAGTGGTGGGTAATTAAGCTGTAGCACTACAAGTGTTCCTCTGTAACCAACCTCCTCCTAGTTGTTAGCTGGCACTTGCCAAGGATAATTGGCACTGCTATATGCCACCAGTGCCGGACCCGATACTGTGGCTCCCAGCTTCAGACTGGACGCACTTGCTCTATAATCTCTCAACAACTAATACTTAATTGATAGAATATTTCTCACAGGTACAAAAATGAATGCTGATGGTTTGAAGTGTCGTATCACCTGCTTGTGTTAGGGTTCGTGTCATGGAGTGCTGTATATAGTTCAAGATTGATGTGCTACTGCTATAGTCAGTTAATAATAGCACTAATCTTTGGTGGGCAAAAATATCAGAATATATATTTGGTTGTTACTATTGTGACTGTAGATAGTTCAAGACCATACTGTGCGAATAACCAGAGATTTAAAAAAAATTATGACTTTCCAATAATAGGACCCCTCAAGGAAGGTTCCTTGATGTTGGTGAGGGGCTCTTGATTTAGGGAATTGGATCTGTGCTCCAGTTCCCCGAATTAAGCTTGAATGCCTTCCACATCCCCCCCCCCAGGCGCTGTATAATCCTCCGGGTTTAGCGCTTCCCCCTTGATTATAATAATACTAATAATAATAATAATCCAATAATAGGAATATGTATTGTAGTCTGGTTGAGAACCACCACCACAGGAGGTACTACCCTACTGTCATGTGAGTGTAGCAGGTAGTCTGGTTGAGAACCACCACCACAGGAGGTACTACCCTACTGTCATGTGAGTGTAGCAGGTAGTCTGGTTGAGAACCACCACCACAGGAGGTACTACCCTACTGTCATGTGAGTGAAGCAGGTAGTCTGGTTGAGAACCACCACCACAGGAGGTACTACCCTACTGTCATGTGAGTGTAGCAGGTAGTCTGGTTGAGAACCACCACCACAGGAGGTACTACCCTACTGTTATGTGAGTGAAGCAGGTAGTCTGGTTGAGAACCACTACCACAGGAGGTACTACCCTACTATCATGTTAGTGTATCAGGCAGTTTGGTTCGGAACCACCACCACAGGAGGTACTACCCTACTATCATGTTAGTGTATCAGGCAGTTTGGTTGGGAACCACCACCACAGGAGGTACTACCCTACTATCATGTTAGTGTATCAGGCAGTCTGGTTGAGAACCACCACCACGGGAGGTACTACGACTGTAGCAGATATTGGAAGCCTTCTAAACGTTTCGTTGATATTTTCTTTCTACCTCGTGAACACATAAGATGAATACAATAATGTAGGTAAACAGCGTGAAATACAATAATGTAGGTAATCAGCGTGGAATACATTAGATCAGAGAAGGCCAAAAACGTAGGATACACTATAGTGTGAATAAAGTAAACAGCGTGGAACACTGAAGGACTGCAAGGAAACAGTGTGGGATACACAAGACAATACGGGGAAATAACCTGGAATACAAAGGAAAATATAAGGAAACAGCATTTGGATCCGGTAGGTATCTGAACTTCAGTGTGCTTACTGCACACTTTAGACCTCTTACTGAGATCGCGCAGCCACAGAAACACGTCTAGTCTGATCACTGACGCTTAACCTTACTTAAGTGTAGAGTAATTTAGGCCAGCCTAACCTTGAATAAACAAATATTAATATTTACTAGAGGCTTATTTCAGGTAGAAATCAACGAAGTGTAATGAGTGGGAAAATGCGCTTCCTGTTTGAAGGACAGGTTGAGTTATGACAACTCGTTGCGTAACTTGTGTATTAGTGGAGGAGGAGGATGATGAATGTTAGCCTTCTTGGTAATGTTGCATGCTCCATGTCTGAGGTATGCTAGTTATGTCAGGAATGTTGCAACACTCACAAATTTGACAGTGTACACAGTAAAACACTGTTCCAAAAGTGGGGAACGTGAACAAGAAGGCACAGAGGGAGCATAAAGATGCAAATGAGCCAGAGAGACGTCAGAAAATATTTGCTCAGCCTTTGGTAGTCAAAAATTGGAATGACAAAGAGGATGAACTGGAGGAGGCATAGTCCATATACAGCTTTAAGAACAGGTATGACAGGGGCCGTAAGGTTAGGGGTGAGTGAACTCACTTCTGACGAGGTAAGAGGTTCAATCTGAACCCTGGCAGGTACTAATAGGCGAGTACAACTGGATGGGTACGAGTACACACACACACACACACACACACACACACGGGAATGAGGAACTTCCTGAACGAGGTTCAGTGGGACAGAGAACTGGCAGGGAAGCCAGCTAATGAGATGATGGAATATGTAGCAACAATGTGCAAGGAGGCTGAGGAGAGGTTTGTACCCAAGGGAAACAGGAATAATGAAAAAGCCAGGATGAGCTCATGGTTCACCCAAAGGTGCAAGGAGGCAAAAACCAAGTGTGCTAGGGAATGGAAGAAATGAGGAGAATAAGGAGAGCAGTCGTAGAGCCAGAAACGAATATGCACAGATAAGAAGGGAGGCCCAACGACAATATGAAAACGACACAGCAGCGAAAGCCAAATCTGACCCGAAACTGTTATACAGCCACATCAGGAGGAAAACAACAGTCAAGGACCAGGTAATCAGGCTAAGCAAGGAAGGAGGAGAAACAACAAGAAATGACCGTGAAGTATGTGAGGAACTCAACAAGAGATTCAAAGAAGTGTTTGTTCACAGAGGAGACAGAAGGGGCTCCGGAAAGACGGAGAGGTGGGGCACACCACCAGGTGCTGGACATAGTACACACAACCGAGGAAGAAGTGAAGAGGCTTCTGAGTGAGCTAGATACCTCAAAGGCAATGGGGTCAGATAACATCTCTCCATGGGTCCTGAGAGAGGGAGCAGAGGTGCTATGTGTACCCCTAACAACAATATTCAATATATCTATCGAAA